TCTTTAAGATATGATGTGAATACATAACTCAAAAATTAGCTTGCAAATTCCACAACCCCTTGCATCCATTTTCTGTGGAACTAAATGTATACAGACTTTTTGTCGCAGTATGTAAAGAATTAAACTACTGATAATAAACCCGACAATTTAGACTGGTTTCAAGACACTTTCCCAACCATGGATATTGCTTTTATTTCGAACTCAGACCCTATTTTTAATATAAAACCGAGATAAGAACTGATCAGAAAATACTAACTCAGTAATATAAATTAGCAAAGACTGATTTCTAAATCAGCTGGATATTAAAGCCATGAATCTGTGTTGAAAACAATTAAGACTAAGAGATCATGTTGATTAATTAATATTTCAAGAGATATATGTTTTCTTTTATCTGTGTACATATGCTGCAATATTTAAATATATAATTAAACCATTAAATTGCACTGTTTACTTCCTGTTGTTGGTATTTTACTTAAGTTAGCTATTAGTGTTGATGCTTGCTGTGTAATTCTTCAAACAACTATATGCACTAAAAAGTGACGCTTTTTGTGTAAGTGCTCAAGAAAGGGTATGAATGATACATTTTGCCATAGGGTGTAAATTGTAAAGACAGAAGAAAAAATGCCTTGGACAAAAAGTCAAATATGTACATAGAACAGAATGTCACAGGGCATAAAGTAAATAACAATTATAATTATCACAGAATTTGTGATTTTGTAGGTACAAAATTCACAGGATACAAAGTCATTTTCGATAGTTATTGCAAGTAATTATTGCATAACAATGACGGATTCAAATGAAAATGGAAATAATTTGGCAAGAAACAACAAATTGTAAAACAAATGTAAAACTGAGATTACTGAAGCTTATTAAAGACTTCAATTTTCGAGAAAAGGGTAGTTTTATGCTTTCAATCTCTAAGTAATTTGCAAGCAAGTATGGACACAAAAATAAAACCCTTTCAAAACTTTATTAACAAGTTAAATTAAATCATTAATGACTTTTCGCATTATTAGTGACAGTTACAACAATGTGAATAGTTATTAGTACTATGTAAAATCTTATTTAATATTGTTGCAAATTGCTATAAAATATAAATTATTTGACTTACGTATTTACTATTGTATGACCATAATGAAAACTGTGCAATTTCTTAAGGCAGTATAAATTATTTTCAATCAGTACTGAACATAACATTAAAGAGTTCAAGTATGGTAGTAATAAAATAACACATACTAGCACTGAATGCTAATAAAGTCAAATATTTTAATAAACGACAAATGTTAACTGCAGCCTGACACTACAGGGTACAAAGTGAGTTCTGTGTTAGAATTATCTCCCCTGGGTAATCTCGAATATAAGCTGCTCCTTCCATTTTGTACAGAAAAGTGTGTTAGATGTAAATAAGAATGATATACTTAAAAATTTACAAGTAGACAGACAAATGGACAGAATAGTAAACCACATTATGAGAAACTTATTTTATATTCACCCATGCATGATAATCATACTTTTAGATATATGGTACAAAATTTGCATAAAACCCATTTCTTGGTAAGTTTTAAAAAAAATGTCCCTATATAACAGGCCAGAAGAAGATGCGAAACCTCTTTGCACGCATATAATAGCCACTAATTCAGCTATTAATTTTCGTATTAAATTCTCCAATTAGTGCTGGGGGAGAGTGGAGACTGTACTGATTGGAGTTTTTTTTTAATGCTCCAAATTGAGATAATTATCCAAAAAAAATTCCGAACACTCGAAGCACGAGGAAAAATACAAAATATTGTTGCACATCGATACAAACAATATATTTGACCTTCAAAGGTTAATTGAAATCATTGAAGTAGTGTGGGAAGAGCATTGTCATGTACGAACCAACGGACACACACACACTGACACGTGATCAACGAAAATGGTAGTGAAGGCAGTATAACCGAACTTCACAAAAGTACGAGGATAAAAACGTAGATATAGTGTCAATTGCAGACGTTTTTACAAAACGGGACATGGCAATATGCGTTTATATATATATATATACATATATGTATATATATATATATATATATATATATATATATGTGTGTGTGTTTATATATATATATATTTATGTGTTTATATATATATATATATTTATGTGTTTTTTTATATATATACATATATTTATGTGTTATATATATATATATATATATATATATATATATATATATATATATATATATATATATATATATATATATATATATATATATATATATATATATACAAACACAGAGCAAATAATGCGTATTTTAAGATAAGTAGAACTCCCATTTCATATTTTTGCAATAGCAGTTTGAGGCTTCAATGGCTGCATTTCCTAATGCCGAGCAAAATGAAGGTGGAGTCTTAGAGTCAACTTATTCATGAGAACGGTTGTGAGTGAGTTGGAGTGTGTAGTCATTTGTAATGTACCAATACAGAGAATAATGAAACATACTTTGAATTTAGTTCATAAGATGTATAATATCTGCGCATCCCTAACTTTCTGTGCAAGTTTCTTCTTTCCTGGAAGGGTAATATAAACAACTAAAAATTACACTTAAAAAAGAAAGGAAAAGTACTTGAGTTTTCAAAACATTTAAGATGCCTTTATGTTGCACTTGGTTTTGTTCCATCACTCTGCTTTTATAATATGGTCTTTTTAAATCTGCATGGATTTTCAGAATATTATGTCTTTAATTAAACTCTTGTCCAAAACGTATGTGTAACACACGTATGTTCCAGAGACATCATATACATCAGGTTCCATATTTGATAAGTAAACTTTTCAATATCACTATATTTAATAGAGACCGTGTTCTGACACTTCACAATTGTTTTTCATATGTTGTTTGTTAGAGACTTGAAGTGGTTTAATTTAATTTCTTACTTAACGTTTGTGTTACTTGCTGATTTGTACGAAAACAATGCAGTGGGAAAATATTATGGAAGATATAAATTTTTAACAGAAATTCATTTTGTGAAATATCTCATTCTTATTGCCATTCCATTAACTATTCACGAACGTTAAAATGACAATATGTACTTTCCTTTTTTGCCTGCCATAAGCTTAAAATATACGGTTTTAATTTCTTGAAACTAAAGGGACCCTATATTCATCGTATGATGGATATATCTAACAAGTCAGCTTCAAGCAGTATACACACACACAAACACACATACACACAGACACATTTTTTATGCTAAAGCTTCCACATCATTACAAGCCGAATAGTATTTTAAATGGAAGAGAGATTGTCTGAATGAAACGTGATTAAACGTCTCTTTGCTTTGATCTTAATACATAGATCACAGTCTGGATGTATGAAGGAATTGATAGCAATCAGAGTCTCACTTTCACCCATATTGACCACAACTTATTGCTAGATTCTATATAATGTAGTTACACCTTTTATCAGCTGATGTAATTGCCTCGATATTCTGTAATTTTAGTTGGTGCGTATACGAGTCAAATTGGTCTCTGAGAGCTTATGCATATACAGGTAGTGGATGTTGATAACTGTATGGTAGTGACCCATATAGGAAGTTATATGATTATAATTATTTTGCTGCTATTAATGAGAAAGACGTAGTGCTATTAATTAAAAAGACGCACACTGAAACGGTTCACATTTTCGACACTGATAGTTTGAATCTAGAAGTTCTAAATATCTTGTAAAGGGATTTTGTAACACTGCTTGCAAATATATAGGAACGCGAATATCATTTTTATTCCATGTCGCTTTCTGTGTAAATCGTACTTACAAAGCTTCTCTAAATATGACTATTTTAGGCACTTCTCAATACAATTATAATTTGACGATTACGACATATATTGGCCCTATAGAAGATCCGGTACGATTTGGATATTGCAGAAAACCCATTTAAGTATGCGTGGTCAAATATATTGACACAGACTGGTACCACTCTACTCGAAATAGCATGGTGTTGTGTGTTTACATGTTGTGTTTTTTTTTAATTTTACATTCCAACTATAAATACTTATATGTTGATAAAACCTCTGTAGATTTAGGATGTTGTTTTATTCATATTGTGGCCAGTCGTAAAAGTACTCTAATGAGAGACATATTGTAATGACACGTTCCTTATCGAGATAACTCATTTTGGTGACGATTGTTTGACTTCTATCTATCAACTGTAGCTACATGCATGTAACATCAAGTTTTAATTTGTCTTAAATCGATGTCGCTATAAACTAGTTTGCAAATGACTTGCCCCGCCTTTCGGCCTTGGTTTGAACGCGAACTAGTTAAATACATGTAATACAAAGTTCACGTATCCCGGGCTTATTTAACATGGCTTTATATGTGTCAAGCGTTGCCGCGAGCGGTGTTTTCCGACCTTACATTCTGTAAGATAATGAAGTAATTCCGGTTGTATTTGGTGTACTTCTCTCCTGTGACGTGTGCTTGATTTATTTCCTTGCATTGGACCTGTCAATTATTACTGTTTCTTTCATCAGTATAACATGTAAGAAATATTAATATTGTCTTTTATGTGACGAAACGCGCGCGCGTGTGTGTGTGTGTGTGCAAGAAGCTTCTCAATTAGAGATGTGTTCAAAGAACCATGGTACGTAATCTTATGACTCCCCCCTGTTTTCATCAAATTCCAATCCTCCCCCACCTCCGACAGCATTCAACACATGTAAATCAGCATCCATATTTGTATCATATACAAGCGTAGATGTTCCGTCCATATCATATAACTATTGTGATGCACCCCACCAAGACGATAATGATATATGTGTGTTCAAGGTGAAGATTAGGTCGATGGTAAAGAGCTATTTAAGTTACATCTGACACTTTAGTAGTTACAAATTAAAATTTAAGGTTAAAAGATGTTAATATACTTTACTAATGGGATCGGAGTTGGAAATAAATAAACAGATGATTATTTACAATGTGTATATTTGCGAATGCATGCAAATAAACATATTCCATTAAAAATGTTTGGATGGCTCGGGTGGCCTAGAGGTTAGAGCGTCTGTCTTGGCTGCGGGAGGTCGTGTGTTCGATGCCAGACCGAGTCATACCAAAACTTATAAAAATTATACTAACGAGTTATCTCTCTTAGCGCTCTGCATTAAGAGATTAATGTTAGGACTGGTCGGCCTGGTGTCAGGATAATGTGACTGGGTTGGACATCATGCAACATGTCTGCGGCACGATGCCCCAATGCTAGACATCACTATAAACTGCCACACTGCAGACTTCGTAGCGATATGACTGAAAAATGGTTAAAGCTACGTTAAAAATCCAAATCACACAAACTAAATCATAAAATGTTTTAGAACAACTTCACAGACCCTATAAGCCATGCAAACATTATAATTACTTTAAATACGTATAATTTGGAAAACGAAAAGCTACAGTAGTGTATGAACGAAATTTTACGTTTCCACTTTCATGTTTTGTCTTCCTAGACGAAACTAAATTGCTCTCTAACCAAACCCAGTTTCCAGTTAGATTAGTTTGGTATCATTTGATTGCGAATTAATTTGTCACTCATAATTTCACAAGCTTAATGTAAGCTGCACAAAGAAATGGTCAATTGTAAATCATTTTGGTTTTCGTTAAGCATTATGTATTAGGTCACAAAATGTAATGAAGCATAGCACTGACATTTTGCTTAGCTTTGTCCGCTTGATTATTATGTCATAAGATTTAGGACAAGAACGGACTGGATTTTCACCTTGCATATACTTACAACTCCTAATGAACCTGAATAAGTTTGAAGATCTACTTCAATAGTTCATTTTTGTACTCTGAAGGAATTACTACACAGGTATTAGTCATTACATCTAACCTCACCTGGACAAGGTGTGACTGGCAGATGTCTGAGGTCAATCTGCCATGACGTACATGGGATTCCACCAATTGATTCGCAGAACATCCATAATTACTATTATTAGTCATGGCAACCCTGCTCATTGTTGTTTATTTCATCTGGCCGACGAGCTATGACTCATGCAAGTAATATTAACAAAGAACAAACTTAAAAGAAGTGAAATGTTTAAGATATGTAAAATGTGTCCGCATATGTCAAGAATGCAACTTAGCTTATGTAAGATAGAAAAAGTTGTTTTGATATATCGTGTACTGTTCACGTGTATTCAATGTTATGGGCAATCAAAGCGAATCAGACAGATCATAATTCAAAGGATGTATCAGAAATAGATCGAAATGGATATAGATTCCATATCAAGGAATACTTGCCGTATTCGCTCGATTCTGATCTACCGACGCGTAATAAGATCAAAGATCAGGGGTAATGATGTTTGTTCTACAGATTACTCTCAAACAACTGCACAAAGCCATACATGCCGGCTCATTATACTACGGCAGATCTAAGTTCGTGCAGTTACCGTTAAAAGTGAGTACATACGTTATGGCTTCGTAACATGTTGGCTTGGATGAAAGAGATAAATCCAGAGCAAGAATTAAAAAAAGATGATTTCGGTTCTAGGATGACGGCATGAATGTGCAAAATTATCCTCCCTTTCTGCTAGTTTTGTTCAAATATTGCTCTAATATTTCAATGGAAATTTGTTTGTTTTTTCTTCTTCATCTCTTTTGAGAACTGATTGACTGACTGACCGGTATATATTTTAACTGCATAGATAGTCTGCATGTTTGCAATAACGTCATGCTACAGGGTATCAGAAGAAGCGACGATTAACTCAAGTCCTCAAATATATTTAGATTATTATTTTTCGAAAAATATACCCCAAAATAGGCCAGAGGTAAATTGTAAAACGTTATTGTGAATCTACACCATTCATATATTTACATTAAAAAGATGTGATGTACGTTTTAGTCATTGTAGCAGGATAAGAGATGGCGAACTGAAATGTGTCTCTAGCATAATACGTGTCAATAACAGACTCCAAGCAGTATGGAAAAGGAAAGGAAAAGATTTGTCACGGTCTGACTAACGTTGTACAGTCAGAGAAGCATACATAGAGACACTGAGACGAAAAGACGGAAATTCTAATGCTGGATTTAACGTTAATATTCCCCCACTTTGCAACAGACGGTAATAAAAATAAATAAAAATATGGTTTCAAGTTTGATAAGTCCACAGTGGCAAAAACTGTAGATTAGTTGAACTGTATGGATTTAGTAAAGTAAGATCTGATACTTCTATTTTTAGAAATATACAGAAAAATGTTCACTGCAAAAATTAGCTATATCTTGTGTAAAATATGCATAATATGCGCCCTTTCCCATGCACATTCACAACTGGCTGTGTCGATATTATTAATGCAAAACTAGCGGTATATTTAATTAAATGCTTTAATTAAATAAATAAATAAATGATTTTGTGCAATGTATATTTAAGAGAATAAAATAAATAGACATATTCATGTACAGTCCAACACCTTTCCTGAGATGAGGAAATAAAATTGTAGAAAATATTTGAGAACATCTTTGGAGATGTATACTAATATAAAAACATACACACACGGTGTTAATCATTCAAAAATACATTTAAATTTATTCTTGTTTGTAAACGTTAACGTGTTTATACTGATGTATATATTGAACAATTTCACATTTTTATAATCTTAAACTCCACTACAATTAGTCTTTTAGAAGCCAATGTATTCTATATTATTATTATTGATTCTAAAATAATTATTATAAAATGATTTAAAAATGTAAGCAATCATATCCCTGACATTTTCCTTAATTTTCTCAATGCGACGTTCATGCAACGTGATTTAATGGATGAGCTGACTTGCGCATATAATTACATAGATCATTTTCTAATATTGTAAAACGAAATAACTTGTTTTTTTTAAAACAAAATATCCGATAGAATGTTTGTCGAAGATTGCATTTAGTTAATTTATATCTAAAGTGGGTTTATTGTGAAATAAGGACTGCAAATTTGGAGCAGATCGACTGCCATTAAAAATATGGCGATTGTTAGTTTCATGTAAGATTGAGTTCAAATAAAGCTTCGATTGCGATTGAATTTGGCACTATCGTAAATACATGTTATTATGTAACATGGAACAGCTTTACTAGCAATAAAACATATTTTCCATACTTTGTTTTTTGAGCGTCATCTAGCAATAAAATTATTTCAAGAAAATTTCAGTTCTATCGCTAAAATTCTTTTTTTGTTCTTATTTTGTTCTAAAAGTTTTACAGTAATTAGAACCATTGTGATATATATATATATATATATATATATATATATATATATATATATATATATATATATATATATATATATATATATATAAGTCAAATAGTTTTAAGAAAAATCTCAACATCACTACATCCGCTAATATTTTGTGAATATATAAAATCGTGGTAAAATATGTTTCCAATGAGATAAGCGCGAAACTCTATTGTCGTTACCATGCTGAATTTGGCAGGGCCATAACACTGAAAAAAGATATTACTAATGGACAACTAATGACTTAAAAGTTGACGACAATATCGAACATTGCATTTGCAACTCTGGATTGAATTTGCGTTACAAAAACAAGAATTGTGTAAATAAACATATAACAATGAAATATTTATAAAATATTCTGTAAAAGAGTTTAACATTATAAAATCGTACAAAATCGAAGTAAACGATGCAAGTATGAGTATGTTGTCATAGAAATATATATATATATATATATATAATACTATTGTGAGTAAGACAAAGATTGCATAAAATATTATAGAAAATAATACGTATGAAAACGGTATGGATTTCTTAAAACACACAAAAGAAGAATATCGTAAAATATCACAGATACGGGTTGGGTGTAGCTTATTCATAGTCAACTGATCATAACAATTGGTACTTTGGAATTAAAACCTCAAAATATTTCTCTAGATCTCTTAAAACCCAATATTCAACTAAAGTTCTAGTTTCTTCTGTTGTCCAGGACTGAACAGATCCTGCAACCGTACTCTGGCACGTTAGGCTCGTGCTTGGTATATTTCCGCTAATGCATTGGATTATTTCAAAGTCACACAAAATAATGGCGAGTTTAACTGAGAGAATATTTAGATCTTTGCTCATCTGGCCGTAGACCTTTGAAGAATCTTCATTAAGTCTTATTTGTTCTGTAAACATGATGGCTGCTGCCATGGAATCATAGTCTGCCATTATTATTTCCGTCTGAAAAAAGTTACAAAAAGTCATAAATATTCCGCAGAAAAATATTTCGTATGGACAAGTATAACATATAAATCTGAGTTAACAACAGCAACATGATAATGCATGCTTTAATATTAATAAGAATACTTCCATTGCTACAACAAAGGTTTAACATTGAACCTTGCTTCTTATCTGCCTTTCACTACAACTGCTACTACAGCCACTAAAAGCTTGAACTTCGGCAGCACAGATATTGTATATCTAATATTATCGCTTTATATTTTGTTAAAAGGTACTACGATTACTTACCACATTGGATGATTTGATCTTTGCTTCTTCGTTTTTGAAATCGATATTTCCGTTCTTGAATGTATATTCCGTTTTGCGTTCAATATTAGCAATCATATTTATATTACCGATGCGGCCAATACTCTGAAAAACAACAGAATCATAAGTAATGGCCCAATAGTTAAACCAATATCCTATCTATCCGTAGTAATGCTCCCATCATCTTTATACTTTTGCTAGCATAAGCATACTTAGTGCAAAGCCTCCAGCCCCCAATAAAAATGGAAGATAAAAATTGTGGTGACAAACAATGATTAAAAAGTTCATTCTTTTTAATTCCAGTGAATTTCTTTCATGCACCTACATATCTCTTCTGACTTGTTTTGAAGTGTTATGACAATTACTACGGTTGGGATTGCGTCGGACTGGTAGCCAACGGATCGAGGGTTATATACCCATCCCCACCAGCGTCTGATTGTAGTCTTCTGTATTTCTTTATTAAAACAACCCATGTCCTCGTTACTGTAGAACCAAAAATATACTCAACGTACCGCTAAAAACCAACAAACAAACACTATGTGAAAACGACATTCAATAGTTGTTATGAACTTTAAGTTATTGAGTTAAACC